ACCGGACCCAGGTAGTTCAGGTATTCTGTTCATCTGGTTCCATCTGGATTCGATCTCCAGTCTGCATTCATTGATTTCAACAGTTAATGGGTGTACCAACTGAACAGCTAACGCAAATGAGAATTGCATACCCATGGCTGAGCTAGTCACTGATTTCCACACATGCATCTTATGCTCTCCTGCAGCAGTTTAGTAGTTTACCCCTTTGCCCTTCCGAACACATTATCTAAGCCTTCCAACCAGCTGTCTAACCACAGAGCGGTACCGAGATTTGAGTGCATTACTCCAAGGCTCCAAGCGTGTTGAATTGATTTCTTCCGTGCCTCTAGCATGGTTCTACATGATGGAGTCTGTGTATGACAGTGAAGGGTGGCCAATTGTGTGAGGTTTCGTCCATATATCTCTGAGGCTGAAGATACTGTTGCCAGCGCATGCAAGCCAATCACGCTGATATACCTCGCAGCTTCTCAGGGCAGTTTCTAAGGCCTCAGTATAAATGGTTGTCTTCCCACGGAAGCCGATTGTGTTCTTGCATAGAGCTCTCTCTACGTTGGGAATCTCATCCTTCTCACCCACTGTGTAATGTCCTGTTCACCCTAACCATGAGTCTATAAACTCCTTTGCCATATTTTGCTTCTCTTCTCGTTCTGCTGGCTTCACATGATCCTGTTCCCTTTTCTGTAGGTCTAGTGCTTGGGTGAGTGGTCTCAGGCTGTTCTGTCTCTGATGCTGACGCGACTGAGGGTGTGACACCCAGAGACTGCATCAAATCTTGCAGACCTCTCAGCACCTCTGTGCTGGTCCAGCATCACCACTCTTCAACCCTGCTTCAGCAATTGCCTTAAGGTCTGGCTGGACTCCCTGTTGCTGACGTACGACTGCAAGTGCCTGAGATACTTGGGGCTGACTGGTCAGCACCCTGCTCCTGCTGCTGCCGGCATGGCTGTACTGGATCTATACCTGCTTGATCTTGGTGGTCTTTCCTTGGCTACTAAGCACGGGTAGACACCAGGTATGTTCCTAGCCCTGAGCTGAGTTGCGTACCAGCTTCCCTTTCCACTCATTTAATTTGATTTAAATAGGCAAAGTCTGGCACTAATCAATACGGCGGCTATACTCAGTGGCTTCCACTAATTAGCACCTTAGTATCTCTGTCAACCCAAGGCCAAGTGTCATAGACTCGTGCCCAATTCGTCATCGACAAACCCCAATCCCTTCACAGTTACAGCCTACTTGATTGATCATTTAATCAGTCAATAGTCAGACCATAATCAGTGCACTAATTAACCTAATCATTCATCTTCGAAGACAGACTGTCCTGAACTTCTGAAGCTAATAGCATAACCTCCACCACTTTGAAGCAATTGAGCATACAATCAGCTCTAACTCATCTGTCTCGCTTCACAATCTCTCTTTCTCACCCCCTTAACTGACAGCCTACTCAGGTGAATAGTGTGCACAGGGAGCCTAAACAGACCTGCCCCATGCATGGGTGATTAAGCCTATTTCCGCCACCAATCCACTTTGTGGTGCACTCGCCGTGAGATGAGAGGCCGAAGAAAGAAAATCAAATAAAATTATAAAAGAAAAGAAAACGCTCTTGCGAGCGCGGCTCGCCATCAGAGCAGAGTGGGCCTAAGTAGATTTGGACTACTGACTTTACACTTATCAGGCATGTATTCTAACCGAGTTATAGGCCCATGCTTGGAAATACTTGAACTCTCAACCCCCAAATCCGTAGTTTGGTGCTCTATCCAATTGAGCTACAAACACATTCATTCGCCCCTTTCATCTCGGGGTATAGGACATCACTTTTTCATGGCGAAGACACGGGTTCAAATCCCTTAAGGGATATATATGATGTGATATCTATCAAAGGGCCAGCCCATCCGCGTTATTTACTGACATGTCATACATCTCAAAAACTAGCTACCGCCACAGCAGGACGATGGATCAGAATTATTTAATGTCCCAACGGGAGAATGCGGCCAACCAGGACCCTTCTACTACTCTTGCTGAACGTGAGTTTGTTCAGCACATGCCTCTGTGTACTTCTCCCACATCATGTGCCCCGCCTCTGAGTCATCCTCTGAGTCCCTTTCCATGCATTGTCCATCTCCCACCAAAACCCTCAGAACAGGTTGAACACTATCCGCACCTCCCATTCGAGACAACCGTCCAGCGATTTGCCATGGATTCATTGTAAGAGACAAATTGAAACAGATGTGTAAGATAGGGTTACGATTACTTGGTTTGCTTGCTGACGCTTGCTGACTCACACCCAACACAACTGAATAGGGTTATGAATGCTCACCATTACTTAGTCTGCTCGCTGCCTCACACCCAACGTAACTGGCTGACTGGAGTAATTGATGACATCATCAGAATAGGATCAAACAGGGTAAACGATGAAGGTACTACAAACTGCTTCACTAAAACCGAGTGATTTTGACAAGTACGACCATGTTAGCAGTGACAATCACCATAGGTTGCTCATATTGCTCGCCATACATCCTTCGTCACCCTTCCTGATGCATGCCTGGAGTGAGCAATGCAAGTCCGAAGGTCACAAATATGAGGAAGAGATGCAATGTCACACTGCGGAAGACTCAAGTCAAATAGGAATGACCGACGATGCAGCAGAAATGACAATGTGACTCAAATCCAGCCTCACACCCAGGGGGAGGGGTCCAGACATAGAAGAGACCTCCCGAGTCCCGCTGCAATCATACAAAGACGAAGTATAATAATAATAATAATAATAATAATAATAATAATAATAATAATAATAATAATAAGAAGAAGAAGAAGAAGAAGAAGAAGAACCAACATCATTTGCCTCTCATAATTTCCCCCTCAACTTCAATAAGAATGAATGAGGGATCAAGAATTACTTTCCGAAAGATCCCATTTAGTGACAGACTAAAACGAGCTCTCTTTTAGCTCACTCCTCCTCCACTTTCCACTTGGTATGGTTATTAGCAATGGCAGAAAATTTGTGGTTTCCACTGATACTCAAAAGGCAACACAGTTGAACACACCACTCCCATGCCTGTCCTCTTCACTATACCCATAGCTATTCCTCCGGATGAAGTCATTGTCCAACTGGTGCCCCAGCAGGGGTCTTGTCAATGCAGCGTCAACCAGGAAGATGGAGATGCCGATTCACCACACCAATAGTAAGTCTCCTTGTTGGTTCCTGCTTCCTTTTTCCTGCTTCAACCTCTATTCACTTCCATAGACCAGGAGGGTCTCCTTCGTCTACCTCCAAAGCTAGGGCTTCTCCTACCTCTCCCTATTTCTTCTCCATTATAGCCATGGACGTCTTCTTGGCAGTTCTTGCTCACCCTCAAGCTACATCTTCACGTCCAAGTTAGCCGAGGCAATCACCATGGTTTGCTTTCATTGCTCACCGTACAACCTTCTTCCCTTTTCCTCCCATCCTCTCTCAACCCTAGCGGAAGAGCTCTTGGGCAAAAGGTCAACCAGACTGCCACTCAATGGTGTTCTGCCTTCCACTACATCTGCCATAGGTAGCCTCTCATAGGAACCAGCCAAATACCAAACGGCAAGGAAAATCAACAGGAGAAACTCAAATCACTAGCTCGATGCAAAATATGGTGACCAGACTACTAGCAGACCAGCCAACATTGAAATCTCTTTGATAATAACAATGAACAAAACAAAAAGAATAACATTTCACAGTCCTTGGTGATCTCTCTACAGGAGTCTACCTGCAGGCATGACCACCTACTCTAACCTCTACTCTACACAGCACCATAGTACTGCAGCACAGAGCACTGTTCTACTCCCACAGATGCTTGCAGTGCTTGAAGAACATATCACGCTAGAGCGCTTTTTGGCGACAACCAGGAACTTCAACATCGGATTCCCCTCGCCAACTCCCTTCTCCACTGCAGTCTTTCCCTTCCTCCAAGTATCTCTACTTCTACCAAAACCTCACTCCTGCCACATGTCATCGCCTTAAGGTTATGCCTGTCTCAGTGCAGCTATGAATGCTGCTGGGAGGGTACTAGGTGCTGCCCTTCCCTGCTAGCGCCGCTTGAACCTGGCGGCATCCTGCATACAAAACGATGACCTCCCTCGGTCTTTTACTAAATACCGTATCTCAGCATATGCTATGGTTATCTTTGTTCAAGGGATGCTGGACCCGGTTTCCAGCAGGTGCAGCTCCCCACCAATAGAATGGAGTCCCTTGCATGACAGGTAGGAGTGCATGCTCTTATCATCACTCCTATCTGTTGTTGTGAGCGGTTTATTTAAAAAAAAAAAAAAAAAAAGGTCGCTGTTCAGTTGGCAGGCACTGCCTTCTAGAGTCTTTCAGTGATGACCACCCCCTACTGGGTCCCTGTCCTGGCCATACTGGGCCCAGGGCCTCTACTTCTTCTGGTCCGATTTCAGGGCCTACTGGCACTGCCTGTTGAGAGGCTCACAAGACCTCACATATGAAATGAATAACATGGCTGAGCGTACCTCCTCTAGCCCACACCCGTTCGTATAACAGCTTTAAGATTCTCAAAGAACATAAAACTTTATAAAAGTGCTTTGACCCCGTTGACTCACAAAAGCACCCTGATCAACAGATCCAGCACCTGCACTCATTTGGCAAACTGACTTAGTCTAACTACACTATTATATCAGAAACATCCATAATCATGTGTGGTGCGCTCTTGTAGTGTAGAGTTCGTATCACACTGGTGAAACCCGCTGACAAAGTAGTTGGAGAAATTCCCAGAAAATATCTGTGGTGTGAAAATGTGATTCAACTTTCGACTGACTTTCCGTTGGAACAATCTATCAAATTCTTGATTGTTGAATGCATGCGTCGTATGGAAAAAGAACAACAACGTGCTTTCTGAAATTTCACTGAATGATTCTCCTTGCTGCACACCACTCTGGAAACTGGCATAGCATGAAAACTTGTGTGCGACAAGAATGGTTTGTGTGCCAGTTTGGTCCCATGGATGCACCTAAAATACCTCGACACGCAGCTGGCTTTTCTTAAGGCAGGAGCTACATATCCAGGCTACCGAGCCTGTGTCTCTGTACCTCACCCTCCTGAGGTCAAATCTTTCGTGCACCTCACTTGCCCCACCTTCCAGGTTTCTCTCCAACCAGTCGATTGCATGCTGACGCTTCACGCCATCTTCCGGACCATCATCCTTGAGCACATCCTTTCCAATGACATTCATTCTCCGCTCAAGGTCTCCCAAGTCCACAAATTCCAGACCAGCGTTCCCCAGTGCTCCAATCACAAAGCTAGTCCAGTTGGCCACACCACCCAAGTCTGGCACAAGCTGAAAGATGCCCATGGAAATTGCACAGCCGGTTTTCAGCAGCACAGTAATAGTCAGAATTGTCCACTTGAAGAGAGTCCACAAATGGCATCTTTCCTTCTTCGGAAGATGCAACTTCTTCCCCTTCTGGCCATGTACAACATGGTACCGGTCTCGGGATTCGCACATGAGGTGCAGCTCAACTGACTTCAAGCCAATCAGGAAACTCAGTTTCTGGTGAGAGCCAGATGTTGTCTCAGTGATGTAAACACGATGAGGTAGGCGACGAGTGAGCTGCTGGGTGGCGAAAACAGAAATTCTGGACAGATCATTGCAGATCCATGCAAAGGCATTACTCTGGTCCACCTGCAGATGTTTCACCCTTCCTTTCAGATCATCAACCGACTGGAAAATCCGATCAGCTTTTATACCCAGATTATGGATCATATCCCTTGTCGACGAATTACCCAACTCTTGAACATTTTCTGTGGGCTGTTGACATCCAAGTAATGGTGCCTCAGAACAACCACTGATGCTGCCGGTGCCGTTTTCGTGACCAGATTCACTCCGTCTTTGCTCAAAGGTGTCCTCAACTACATTGAAGCTCTCACGCACTTTGTTAAGCTCATGTTCCCGAATGGACAGGTGGCGCTCCAATGTTTTCGGTCTTATTAGCGCCATAGCATCATCGCAGGATAGTGGAAGAATTACCTGGCCCTGCTCATCCAAAATGGCAGGCCAGGAATGATTCCAATTATATTCCTCCCTTTCCAACTCCTCGATCAGCTTTTCCTCTGTGACAGTCTGATTGTCCCTTCGGTACCTCCGGGGAACAATTGAAGATGCTGTCAAACAGTCGGGACGCAGAATTTTCGTCATGAGATCCACACCTGGGAGGCCAGTCGGCTCACAGCAAAGTTGGTAGATGGCTCTCACAATGTTCTGATCAACCCATTCGGCTGATTCTGCTGCAGACGTTTCAGGCGATGATGCCATCACGTCAATCCAATCGTCATGAACTCCCCCAAACTCCACGTAGATCTCGTAGCCTTTGGAGAATATCTCGGAAAGGTCCTTCTTGCAGCTGTAATCACCCTTGTCGTGGAATTTCTCATGGAAGCGCACCTGCAAATTCATCATAAAACAAAACCACAGTCGTTAGCCTAATTGCTTACACAGGCTGTGCACAAAATTTATTCTCATCACAGGTCACTGCCAACGACCAGTAGACAATGTTCTACATATGTCCAGGAATTTGCAGCACATTCAAAGCCATCACAGCAAGACTGGGTTACTTTTCATCCTCAGGCTGTTCGTTCTACAGAATCTACACTAAATTGCATTACTTTCCTAATCTCGGATTTCCCGGACCTGTAAGCATCACTTACTACCTGCGGCCGGTCTTCTGTGCATCCGGAATGTTCGCTGAGTTTCCTGGGACTTGGCTGCCAACAGACTGGAGTGAGTGCGTGCAGGGACTGACCGTGAAGACCCGACTGCATCAATAAAACTACCAGACTGTATGTAACTAAGTTACCAATGCGATGGGTTCCATGATGCATGGGACTTCGCGATCGGGAATGAAAAGAACACTTCTACATGTGAAATCCTTCCATCCCTCGCTCTCTCTCTCTCTCGCGCGCGCGCACGCACAAACACACACACACACACACGCACGCACACACACACACACACACACACACACACACACACACACACACACACACACACACACACACACATAGATAAAAGATACAACTGCGCCTGTGACCGGTGCACAGTTCAGAATTCGCAGAAATAACGGCCCTCTGCACGCTTGGTTCAAGACCAGTTCGAAACTGCAAGAAAAACAGTAAACTATGCGTTCGACGGCCTACCGGTTCAATAGTGGGCAAAAACGGGAGTTGGCGGTCACAGGCGCAGTATTTTCCCGTGGCCTGGGCTACTGGTACCGCGCTTTTTCCCGTGGCGTGGCCTGGCCTGGGACCAGGTACCGGTAGCAGGCCCTCCCGTTTTTGGCTTGTGGCGGGACTCATTTCGGGTAGGAAAACGGCCCCACTTGGTTGGTACAGGAAAAGCCACTGACCGTGCCACGCGGCCCGTTAACACCTGCCCCACTCTCTCTCTCTCTCTCTCTCTCTCTCTCTCTCTCTCTCTCTCTCTCTCTCTCTCTCTCTCTCTC